TTGTTTCAGTTATCTCTATCTTCAATCTATCTGCATATCTATCTATTGCTGGCTTATATACTAAAAAAAATTAAGAAATTGAGTAATGTATAATACTAAAATTTGAATTATAATCTACAGTTTAATACCAAACTTATTGACATAAATTCAGGAAATAACAGTTCAATAAAATTTTGAATGAGAGTCAACAAATGCGATGACATGGCCTTTCATCCGTGACCCATATGGAAAGGGTTAATATAAATTAGATGCAAAATCTTTATTGTGAGAAAATTAATAAAGTGTTAAAAAAATATATTGTATCAAGAACTGACTTATTGATATATTAAAACAAAAATAGATTTACATGTAATTAAACATAGACATTCATTACATGTTGAGTCAATGAGCTCATCATCCTCCACCTGTACAAACATTATCCCAAGTTACATTTCCGCCTTTGTAAAATACGTTTAATACATATATATATATAAATATATATAAATGAAAACAAAAACATGAGTTGAGACCTGTATGCAACCCTACAGAACTGTCAGCCCTTTGTGTACTTAATGATTTAATTATAAAGCAAAATTTTAAACACATGGTTATGAAATTAAATTAAATTATTAGTTTTAAGTCTTTGTTACTATAATGTCATGTTGGTGTATAGCATACTGATGCGCCCTCTGGTTCCATTTCGTAGAACTAGCAACATATCTTGTGGACAACTTCTGTTGTCTGTTTGTTTGTAATTAAACACAGAACTACACAATGGGCTACCTGTGCTCTGCCCACCACGGGTATCGAAAACAGGTTTCTAGCACTTCTGTTGTCATGTCATGGAGGCCTAGAAACGCGACTCTAACAACACCCCCTCTGGTTCCACTTCCCGGAATTATGACGTCATAGACTCTGGTGACATTATCATCTCTATCCTTTCCCTCCCCATTGTTTGAGGTCGACACGCATGTGTGGCACAATCTCCGGGGTAACTACTGACGCAACTTCATCCGAACCTGTGATCTGACACTTAAATCTTTTATTAATGATAAGACTCACTTACTGAAAAATCTCATCAAGCAAGAACAGGAAAAAACTGGTATAACTTTTGTAAATACATTGACAAAACTAAGCCTGATCCCTCATTATTTTGGAAAATAAATAAATACATAACCAACCCTATATAACCAACATAATCAACCCGATATCCAACAATCAATACAATTGTCTAAATGCCACATCCAACGAGAACAAGCCGAATTTTTCTCCCAGTATTATCAAAGTACATTCGTAACCCACCAACCTCA